TTTTCACTGTTCTCTGGCACTGAGGGAAGATGAAGGAATATATCAATACAGATAATCCAGTAAACACCATTCCTTCATGGTCAACCCCAGATGAAATGACACAGTATAACTTACTCATCGGAGACTTTCGACAACTTGAGCTTCCCATGCCAAAGATTTCAGATTCATCTACACCAAACTCAGGTGCATCCTCGAAATCCTCTCCCTCACTGTCACTGACCATGTGAACATCTGTGCACTGTAACACAGACACGAAGGCAATTTCTTAAAAAAAATAAAAATTAATGTGACAAAACTAGAGATGCACAATTTATCTGTGATCACACCAATGGGGATCTAATCCAAAACGTAGGAACTTGAACATTTCTAAAATAAATAAGTCCATACATAAAAAACTAATCTCTCTCTCACTCTACACTGCTTCAGTGTCAACTGTGGCATGAATGACTAAATTTGCCAATCCCTAGATTAGGCTAATATATTTAAGATGACAATAATATCGAAGCCTATTATTACGTAAAATTAAAATTATATATATATATAATAATAATAGGGGGGGGGTTAACTAAAGCAAAAAACAAACAAAAGATTTATAATCCTGGCAATAACAACAGAAATAGCTATTAGAGTCAGCCAAAAATGCCTATATTAGTGACCGCCCAATTACAACTCCATATAAAAGTATAATAGTTCATAAAATAGCTCCCATTTTAATTCTACATTGGGAACCAAACCTAATATGAACGGTGCGGAGAATGTAATAGTTGCCAATCTGTTGAAAGGTTGCCATCAGACTTGAAACACAGGGGCAAGTCTGGCTGTAGTGTTACGCCTGGCAACTCAACAGCGATCCCTGTGCCCACTACAAATTATTTCATCAATTCAGAGCAGGACTGCATTTCTATTCCAACAACGAGTTTCTCATTAAAGATAAAAATGGCAATCATTTATCCATTTTGGCTGAGCGGAGCAATCTAATTAAAAATCCCACAAAATATTAGAATTGCCAAAACTGGCATCACATGCTGGCTTTCCATATGTTGAAAAATTAAAAAACAAAAACAGCAGAAATGAAATATATAAATGTAAAAATGATGAGAGAAACAGAACTTCTTCATGGTTCTCATCTACAGGTAAACGACAGCAGCTTTGACACTGTTTGTGCACTGTAGTGGTGTTGATGTGTGTTCTGCTTTACCTCGTCTGTCTGGTCCACCGTGAGCGCAGGGGAAGATCTTCTGCACACAGTCAGGTGGTGGCAGGGGTAACTGATTCCACTGGAGGCCAGAGTCATCTGTGCGATCAAAAAATTTATTTATTAGACATTTTAGCATTGTTTTCCCAACCTTTTTGTTGTGTGTAAAATGAAACACCCCTTTTTGTTAAGGGAAAATACCATAGAGTCATCATAGCTAACGTTTACGAAGTTATCATTTTGAGTTTGGAACATCATAAGAAGCCAGCAATGATAGAATTATTGGGTGAACTATTCCTTTAAGATAGCATTTCCCAGTAAAGTTTGCAGAGACCATCGGTATTCATCTACACAGGGTTTCTCTGGCTCATGATAGAGGTACTGTCTGTTTGGCACTCTAAA